TTCATTAGTCCATACATTATAATTAAAAATAGAATAATTAAATAGAATTATTAATATTTATTAATATTATTAGTTAAACTGTTAAATACGTCTATGTGATTAGTATATCTATTTTATTTACATTTATTTATTGTATATAATTTATATTATATATATATATATATATATATATATATATATATATATATATATATATATATATATATATATATATAAACATTATTAATATATCCTCTAAAGCCATGCCCTTACTTTTTCATTTAGGTTAAGTAGCTTACACCAACCAGCAACTTACTTTAAGCTAAGTAATACGAATTAAAAAAAAAATGGTCAATCATAATTTTAATTTGTATATATTGTACAATTGACTAAAGATGCATTATATTTTTATGGAAAATGGTCAAATAAGCCTTCAAACTTTTCTTATAAATTCAATTAAGTCCTAAACATTACAAAGTTACAATTAGACCCATAAACATGTCATTTCGGTGCTTTGAAACCCATCAACCAGTTAATGACATGTTATTGCAGGTCACTAAAATTTCGGCGACCTTCTAACCCACTCTGGAGACATTCCGATAACTCCGGCGAATTTTCAATCAACTTGGCCAAAATTTCTCCGGCATGTGACTTTTTGCTCACTTCTCCACGTTTTTCTTCAATTTTTGGCAAAGTTGATCGAAAATTCGCCAGAGTGAATCAGAATGTCGCCGGTAGTAGGTCGCCGGAATTTTAGTGACCTGCAATAGCAGGTCATATCATTAAGTGATTGTTGGGCTTCAATGCATCAAAATGACATATTTATGGGTCTAATTACAACTTTGTAATATTTAGGGGTTTAATGAATTTTATAGATAAAATTTGAGAACGTATTTGACTATTTTTCCTATTTTAGTGTAATTTTTAAAATTAATAAATACAAGTTACCATTAATGCGAAGGGCGATTATTGACATTTCACTAAGGAAAATGATGTTTTTTTTCTAAATTTTTTCCCTAATATAGTAACATTTCACCCCATGATGTGGCTTAAAATCATTGGTGTCCATGACTTGTGTAACTCCACCTATAATTAAAAAGAAAGTTAATTGTGCAATTAAAAAATGTCATCTAAAAAGGGGAAGATTGGAGGGTGGATTGCACTAGTCTTTGTCTAATTAAGTACGGAATACTATATATATATATATATATATATATATATATATATATATATATATATATATGGTCCAGATCAGGTGAGGACCTAATCTTAGGTGAGGACGTGAGGACTAATCTAGAGCATTAAATCATAATGATGTATGATTGAGATTAAAAGAAACAAATCACACGGATTAAGAAAACAAATCCCTTTAAAATATTAAAATATATAAATTTAGGGTAAATCAGTCTTATTAAAAGATGTGCATTCCTATACTGAGTGTTGTGCATCAATAAGTTCATTGTTGTGCATTCAAACCCCGCCAAAAAATCATACAGTGAACATCCAATGTTCTACGATGCATTGAACTATGTGCTATAATGCACAACTCCCTAGCCTATAGTACACAACTTACAACACTAGGTTGCACAATCAGCACACACGAATGCACAATCGTACTACCCAGGCATTTATACATAATACATATACACGACAATCCAAATATAGACAATATTATACTCAAAAGAACAAGCGAAAAAAATAAAAAATACTGATTAGTTTGCATGGGTGAACACTCAATCAATGATGAAGAAATCGCGGCTCCAAATTGCAACGGAGATGATCCAAGAAAATAGGAAACCAATTTGGCCAAGGATTATACATGCGTTCACACTTTAAAAAATAGAAAAAGACACTATTATCCCACTTTAACAAAAAAGATCAATCCATGTCATCTCAAGAACTCAAATCTGGACCATCCAAATAAAAAAACAAACGCACAAGATTAGTCCTCACGTCCTCACCTAAGATTAGGTCCTCACATGATCCGGATTCTATATATATATATATATATATATATATATATATATATATATATATATATATATATATATATATATATATATATATAGTCAAGTTTCTATGAGAATAGGGCTTTCCGTGTATGCGATCAGTACGATTTACACCATTAGGTATGTATAAATGTACCACACAATGTTTGAAAATACACAATTATGTGTGGTGCATTTTGTGACATTTAATTCTGGTGCATTTTTTAACACTGTGTGGTGTATTTATGCATACCTAATGTGTAAACCTCACCGACCACATGAGAAGCCATGTTCTCATTTGAACCAAAATCTATATATATATATATATATATATATATATATATATATATATATATATATATATATATATATATATATAGGCTTCGAATCCGGTGCAACCCCTATGATACATGAAATCATGAGATCTCATGATATCCATTGATTCATTTTCCATGAATGGTTGAGATTATAAGAGATTCTTAAAGTAATTAAGGATAGATTGAAATCAAAAGGATTAAATAGTAATTGTAGTTATTTGTTTAATTATGGATATAATTGAATTAGAATCCGGGTTTAATGGTACCCGGGTTGGACTTCCATTTGGAAGATTATGAGTTCGAGCCTCAGTGGAGGTGTTATTGGTTCTTTGTGTTTTAGTAGGTTGAGAAAGTATATGAACAGATACTACAATGTAATAAAGCCAGTAGCATTCAAAAAAAAAAGAATTGGAAGGGTGAAAAGCTAGTTTTGCTGGCTGGTGCGTATACGAACATGAGTATGTGCATATGTTGAGGATATTCATGTGTTTTATTTTTTCTTTGGGTTTGTTTGGTTGGGTGACCTAAATGTGATGGGATGTGTGTGTGTGTGTGTTACAAATATTTGAAAGTGTGAAACGACAAACACTGGGAAAAAATTGGTAGTTGAGTTTAGAGTTTCTTGCTGGCGGGTGCGTATACGAACATGAGTATGTGCATAGCGTGTGCATATGTTGAGGATATTGTTTTTTTTTTTTTTTTTTTTTTTGGTTTGTTTGGTTGGACGACCTAAATGTAATGGGATGTGTGTGTGTGTGGTACAGATGTTTAAAAGTGTGAAACGACACAGACTGGGAAAAAAATGGTAGTTCAGTCTAGTGCGTCTTGCTGGCGGGTGCGTATACGAACATGAGTATGTGCATTGCGTGTGCATATGTTGAGGTTATTGGTTTTTTTTTTTTTTTTTTTGGGGGGGGGGGGGGGGGGGGGGGGGGTTGTTTGGTTGGACAACCTAAATGTAATGGGATGTGTATGTGTGCGTGTGGTACAGATATTTGACAATGTGAAACGACACAGACTGGGAAAAAAATGATAGTTGTTGGTTGTTTGTGTGCTTCTGTTAATAAAATAGAGGCCTGACCGCGGTTGCTTTTAAACGTGTGCAATCAGCGCATATGGGGAATAAACCAAAATACAAAATTACCCCTTCTTACCTAAATAATCAGCGCACATGGGGAATAAACCAACACCATCCGAGCCCTTGATTAAAAGAAATCAACGACCGGGGAGTGTGCTCACGAGCTCGGCTGATTGGGGGGTGTGCACCGGATTCAAAATCTATGTATATATATATATATATATATATATATATATATATATATATATATATATATATATATATAGTTTCCTATTAATACGGAAGTACTTGAGTATAACAAAATAATAATGTTGTAGCATGAGTTATATTCCCCACCTAGGATGGATGGAGCAGCAGGTTAACCCTAGTTAGTACATTAACTTTTCCTAGCTAAAGCTTACAAAAATGAGATAATGCATGTGTTGAATTAATCCTTATTCTTATCAGGATCCATTAATTTCTTTTAATAAGTTATTGACTCTATTTTTTGTTTACATTATATTTTAAACCAAAATGTTGACACAAATTTGATTAAAAATATGCATGTGTATATATATAGGGCAACGTTTAGGTTAGAACATGCTTTCAAGTAAAAATTGATTAGTGATGTAATTCATTCATTTTGGTAGATTAATGGTTGATGGTTGCTGAAAAATAAGATGAAAAGAGGTGTAGGTTAATTTTATAAATATTGCAAACTTAAAAGTTTACAATGATTATTATTGGATGATATAATGCTATCATGCATCATAATGCATAATATGATCATTGAGGATGAACGTGATGAGCAAGCAAATATACAAATTTGGAGAGAAGCACCACCTCCTGATGTTGATATGGGTAGAGTAGAGTCGAGTATTCTGTTTGAAGATTTTCTTGCTCGACATATATAGGCAAATCAAAAATAAAGAAGCGCATTGTGATGCATTGATTGAGCATATGTGGGAACAATATGGTAATTCTCAAAATTAAATGTAATGGATGTTCTATGATATATTATTATGGAATAAAATAATATTTCCATTATAATTATATTTTATATTAAAATATTTAAAGTTATAATACAAAGTCTTTATTATTTTATTGAAGAAATAAAATTTTATGCAGAATTTTGTGTAATTGGTTGAAGATGAAAAAAATGTACTGTAATAATATGTTTGAAATATTCCTTTTGGTGTAAAATTTGGCGCATAGGGTTGGGATGCTCTTACACCATATTTGGTGTAATACTATTCATTTACACCATTTTGATGTAGAATTTGGTGTATTCCTTAGCTTGGAAAAAGGTTGCACCAATTTTTTACAACAAATGGTGTTTTGGTGCTTCTTTAGATGAGATAATTGATTATCGATTCAATTCCAAAAGGATAGGAATTACAATACTAATAGCTAAACAACTCTGCGTAAACAAGTCCTATCTAATAGGAAAGCCACAGAAGACTAAGCCTATTACAAAGATACTAATAGCTAAACAACTCTGCGTAAACAAGTCCTATCTAATAGGAAAGCCACAGAAGACTAAGCCTATTACAAAGACTAATACAGCAACATATAAAACGTGACAAATAATAATATGGCTAACACACCCCCTCAAGCTCAAGGTTGGTAGGCAACGACATTGAGCTTGTCCCGAAGAGCTTAAAAACGCGGCCCTGGCAGCGGTTTGGTGAAAATATCTGCGAGCTGGTCTTTAGTCAACACAAAATGAACCAGCATGTCCCCAGAAGCCACCTTGTCCCGAATGAAGTGGAAATCAATTTCCACATGTTTAGTTCCGGTGTGAAAGACTGGATTCACACACAAGTAAGTTGGACCTAAATTGTCACACCATAGAGTGGGTGGGTCACCGGTGTGAAGTCCAAGTTCCCTGAGCAACGAGACAACCCACGTTACCTCTGCAGCCACATCTGCGAGAGCTTTGTACTCGGCTTCAGTAGACGACCGAGCAACTGTACGCTGTTTCCTGGAAAGCCATGAGATCAGATTTTTCCCTAAGAACACTGCATAGCCACCAGTGCTCTTCCTATCAAGCGGACACCCTGCCCAGTCAGAGTCAGAAAAGGCATGAATAACAGCGGAGTATGAGACTGTGATGTGGAGACCGTAATCTAGAATACCCTTAATGTATCGTAGCACCCTTTTGACCAAGGCCCAATGATCAGTAGTCGGAGAGTGCATGAACTGACATAGGCGATTCACAGAATATGAGAGATCCGGCCTCGTGATAGTTAAATACTGCAGAGCCCCAACGACACGACGATATTGTGTCGGGTTGTCATGCGGGGTGGTAGTAGTTGATACTGGCTGAGTCACTGCAGCCGGCATAGCTAAAGGCTTGCAGTCCGTCATACCCGCCCGAGTTAAAATGTCATTCATATACCTGCGTTGAGACAACATGAGGCCATCGTCGATCTTTATAGTTTCAATGCCGAGGAAGAACCCGGGCGCGCTAAGGTCTCGTATCTTGAAAGTTGTGAACAAACGCTTAAGTAGAGAGGTAATGAGCGTGGGATCATTGCCCATCATAATAATGTCGTTGACGTATACGAGTAAGTATACTCGAGAGGTATCGGTTGAGTAATGAAAGAGAGACACGTCTGTCTTTGAGGACGAAAAACCTGTAGAGAGCAAATAATCATGCAGTCTTTTGAACCACGCCCGAGGGGCTTGCTTGAGTCCATATAAAGACCGTTGTAGATGACACACATGATCAGGGTGATTTGGGTCTTCATACCCTGGCGGCTGTTTCATATACACTGTCTCTGCTAGGTGCCCATTTAAGAAGGCATTATGGACGTCGAGTTGCCTCAGAGTCCAGTTATGTGAGATGGCCTAGAGAAAAAAGCAGCCTGACTGTATTCGGTTTGACTACATGACAAAACGTATCAAAGAAGTCTTCGCCTGCCACATGATTGAACCCCTTCGCCGGTCCGCTTAGTGCGAAACACCCATTTACACCCAATAATATTCATGTCGGGACTAGGAGGGACGAGAGTCCAAGTATTATTATGTAATAACGCATTGAATTCCTGGTCCATAGCGTCACGCCACTCTGGATGCCCAACCGCCTGTGAATAACAGGTGGGATCAGTGGTTGTAGTGAGAGCTTGAAATTCTTCACCAGTACCCCGAGTCATATGCCGTAGCCTCATTACATGACCTCGATCTCGAGGCTCGGTTCTTGCGACCCGCTTTCTGCTAGTGATGGCCCGAAAAGGGCCCTCAATGGTTAAGGGGGCGGGCTCTTGCGCCAAGGGAGTGGGACTCGGAGACCTCTGCAGACCAGAGTCAATGACGGCCATGGACCCAGTTTGTGTTACAACCGGGCTAGACGCCCAAGGTAAGGCAGGTAAAAGAGATGTAGTTTTGTCCTGTGCCACCAAGTCTGAAAAGGAAAAACAGTTTCGTCAAAGCGTGACGACAGATATAGACTTTCCCACTCGTTAGGTCCATGCATCTATAACCCCTAAAGGATGAGGGATACCCTAAGAAGACACAGGGTGCCGAGCGATAACCCATCTTGTGCCGGTTATATGGCCTAAGATAAGGATAGCACCGACACCCGAAGACTCGAAGAAAAGTGTATGGTGGTGTGGTTTTATAGAGACGGCTATATGGACTATCATAGTTTAGGACTGTAGTGGGTAAGTAATTGATTAAGTTTGTGGCTGTCTCAAAAGCATAGTCCCAGTATTTTTGTGGAACACAGCCTTCGGCTAGCATGGCTAGCCCTGTTTCAACTATGTGTCGGTTTTTGCGTTCAACGCGGCCATTTTGTTCGTGCGTGTACGCACATGACTGGCGATGAACAATGCCCAACTTTTCGAACACATGATGTAACTTGCGGTATTCCCCGCCCAAATCAGACTGAACAGACTTGATAGAACGCGAAAACTGGTGTTCTACCATGACCCGAAACGACTCGAAACATTTGTATATATCAGATTTTACCCATAAGGGATAAAACCACGAAAAACGAGAATAATCATCTACAAAAAGCAGAAAATAACGAAATCCACTAGTAGAGATTACAGGTGCCGGACCCCATATGTCCGTGAAAATTAAATCTAACACATTTTCACTAGATGATGAAACTCTATTTATGGGAAATCTAGAGGATTTGCCTAGTTGCCGCCGACTTGGTATTATTTGGTGAAACTGGACACAACTTTAGGACTTGATTCTGGACGAGTGCATGGGGATGACCCAACCTGCGATGCCAGACAACTGGAGTGGTACGGGATGTGAGAAACGCAAAATGAGATTGAGAAACGGGAAGCTTGTACAACCCGCCCACCGTAGGACCTCTAAGCAGAACCGCCCGAGTGACCGAATCCTTCACAACTAAAAAATCTTTGTGAAATTCAAAGAAAACATGATTATCATTCGTTAAACGATAAACAGATAATAATGGGACTGAAAGCTGGGGAACATATAACACATTTGACAGATTTAGTATTTTAGACACAGACGATATAGAAGCATGACCAACTCGTGAGATCGTCAAACCTGCGCCATTACCAACACGCAGGACATCACCACCACTATATTCATCAAACTGCGACATCATGGATGCATCGGGTGTAACATGCGCCGTGGCCCCCGTGTCCGGGAACCATCCCGAGGCGGGGGAACCTGCCGCCATGTCATCGCCGGGAACAGCCAGGTTGGCCTGTGCTGCGGGTTGCGGAGCGTATCGCTTGAAGCAGTAAAGGGTTGTATGCCCTTGCGCCCGACATATCTGACATCAAGGGGGTCCGCCTCTGCCGTTGCGACCACGACCACAACCACAACCACCTCTGCCGCGACTCGGATTGCCGGAGTTGTCGCGGCCTGAATTCTGTCCGCCTGTGTTGCCGCGACCTCCAGTGCGGGCGCGACCTGCATAGAACGCGGCTAGGCTAGCATGATCAGGAGTCGCCGGATAGTCCTCGGCATGAAAGAACTCCTGCGCTCGGAGGTAATCTGCAATCTGGGGAATGGTGACTGGAGTGTCGGCTGCTGTCAAGGAGGAGGCCATGGCACGATACTCCTGGCGCAACCCCCGGAGAACGAACATATTCTGTTCGTCAAGGGAAATCGGGCGACCGGCGTGCGCAAGATCTTCAACCAGTAACTGAGCACGTCCGAGGTACTCTGTCGTGCTACTGCCACCCTGCCGGAGAGCGTGAAACTGACCGAGAAGGCCGAGACACCTCGCACGAGTGGAACTGGCTAGAGCGGTGTTGATGGAATCCCAGACCGCCTTGGACGTGGATTGTCCGACCGCAAAGTGCATCACCTCATCCGAAAGGGATGAGATGAGGAGCGACAGCAACGTTTGTTCCTGCTTAATCCAGGCCCTGTAAGCCGGATTGGGAACCGAGGTGGTGGCTGACGTTGTGGACTCGCTGGTCGCCGGTGAGGCGTCAATCATCGCCGGAGGGCACGGGAATTCTCCATCAACGTATCCCATGAGCTCCTGGCCACGAAAGAAAGGGACTAGTTGGGTTCTCCATAACAGAAAATTCCGATATGTCAATTTTATCGAAACAAAGTGGTGTGCACTGTTTAGAGAGTTTGGGCTTGTTGCCGGAGATGGAGTCCCGTCGGCAGAAATTGTGCGCTCGGAGGAGGCTGACATGGTGGTGATTAACCGGTGATTTTGGGAGAGGAGGGAATCAGAAGTGGTGGTAGAGAGAGAGAGAGAGAGAAACAACCTGGTCTAACTGATACCAGATGAGATAATTGATTATCGATTCAATTCCAAAAGGATAGGAATTACAATACTAATAACTAAACAGCTCTGCGTAAACAAGTCCTATCTAATAGGAAAGCCACAGAAGACTAAGCCTATTACAAAGACTAATACAGCAACATATAAAACGTGACAAATAATAATATGGCTAACACTTTGGAGATGGTCAATAAGGAATTAAACAGTTGAAATGTTGTTTAATAATGGGAAGAGACATATGAATGACTTAAGGTGGCCTGGTGGGATTATATTTACCAAAACATATACAGATATCATCAAATCAGTACATATATTCTAAAACATCTTATCTTATGATTGATCTGATCTGCAACACATACAAAAACATTGATATCATCTTAGTTAATTAGCTTTAAAAAAAAAAAAACATTGATATGATCTAAAAACCCAAGGTGGAGGATGGGCGGGGTACGAAGTTGAACTTAAAGCTAAGGTCGGTCTCATGGAGAAAAATCCAAAAGAGGGATGAACCCGCCAAGATTTCCTTGCATCTGAAATCTGCCACACCCATCTCATCTACTTGCTCACCTTCTGACAATGTTTCCTACTCACTTTTATTTCTATTCATTTATTATCTATTCATCACATGCATTCATTTCTTTTTTCAAATGTATTATCCTTTATTAATTTACCCCCACCCCCCAGTAATTAATTTTTCGCTGCTCCACTGCACCAATGTTACCTACTTATAAGCCACCACAAGAATCTCGCCATGCCTACACGGACTTAGTTCATTAGTTCAGTAAGCAGTATTTGAAAGAAGAGATCAATCAAGGTTCGAACCTCGACAGCGACAGTGTGAGGAGCCATTGAGTCTGTGATTTACATCCTCGTAAATGTTCTGGGGGCGTTTCTTGGAAGAAACGATTGAGAGGGCGTTTGATTGGGAGGAGAGAATTAGGAGGAAAAGAATTGTAATTCCGTGAAAAAAGAATAAAGTGTGAATAATAATAATAAGTTTTTTTTTCTATTTTTTCTTTTCAAAGCTGCTGCCGAATTGAAATTTCCATAGCGGTGTATGGATTCCAATCCCACAAAAGGGAAGAAATTGCAATTCCTTCCAACTAAATAAAAAATAATTTCTCATGCCAAAGAATTACATTGTAGAAGATTTACAATTACACTCTATCAAATGCTTTGGAGTGAATCAATCATAATTTTCGTACTTAAAATACCATAGGTTTGATTCTTATCAACGTCTTTACGATCGAGCCACTCATACAGAATTTTCACAATGGGTCTGTCATCATTAAAAAAAAAAAAATCTCTATTTTATTTTTAAAATATATTTAATACAAGACTTCACTTAATAAATAATTACGGAGTATTAAATTACATTAAATGATTTCTTATTCATTACTTAAAGCTAACGTATTTAAGAGGGAAAAGACAGAATTGTGTGACCTACACCTAGTTAATATCATTGTATATATATAAAGGTCGATTTGCCATCATTGTAGTTGTAGAGCATTAAAATATGCATTTTAGTTAACACATGTACTCAGTTTATTAATTAGCTATATAAGAATATGTGCATATGTTTTTATTGATACATAAATCAACCCAAAAACATGAAATTTTATTTAATAATATGATAATGTGCTTAATTTTAAGATTGTGTTTGCCGACAATGTATGGGGAAATAATAGAATCTAACATCACAAAATTATATAAATTATTTGTCCTATATGTGTGTAATCTAGGCATCTAGTTAGGCAGCCATGGCCATAGCCCATATCCCATAGGATGATTTTTCCTAACAACCACTTAATTGCCATCCATGTCCTTCATTATTATCAAACTTTGTCTGCCCATTTTTGTATATGCATATATACCAGGACTATGTGGTCTAATGGTACCCGGATTGAACTTTCATTTGAAGATTATAAGTTCGAGTCTCAGTGGAGGTGTTATTGGTTCTTTGTGTTTCAATAGGTTGAGAAAGTATATGAACAGATACTACAATGTAATAGAGCCAGTAGCTTTCAGAAAAAGTAAGAATATATATATATATTTTTTATAAATAAAAAATAGTAACAATTTTATTTTTTAAAAAAATATTGTGAAATTATTTTATGCATTTTAATTAAAAAAATATTAAATATCTTACTCATTTTATAAAATATGCAAGTAAAACTATTATTATCCGGTAATAACTATGTAAATCTTGTGAGGGGGGAAAGGAAATTTCCAAAGAAATACGGAGTAATAAATGAGAATGAAGATAAATTGAGAACATTAGACAATGCAAATTCGAATCCAAAGACGCATGTGGGGGCCATCTCTCCGCGGTAGAACCGTACAACTGTAGAAGTGGAGCCCATTTTCCAAACTACAACCAAAAAATAATAAAATAAAAAACAACCGAGGGCTCAGCTCCGATGACTCTTCATGAAGGTTATATGATTGAATTTCTGTTTTATTGAGTCTTTAAATTGTAATAGATAAGATACTAAGTTGCAACAGATAGAAAAATATAAAAATATATATTGATCGTGTTTGATAAAATAATTAGCATATCAGCTAATTTTGATTTATTTGATCACCATAAATTGTTTAACTTGGTTAAAAAATTAATATAACATGGCGTTTGGTTGGAGGGGGGAGGGGGAGGGGGGAATTATGTGGGAAAAGAATTATAATTTCAGGGGAGTTGAATTGCTGGGAATAAAGTGGGAATTTAAATTCCAGTGTTTGGTGGACAGGAATAGAATTACTGGGAATTTCAATTCCAATGTTTGGTATACATGGGAATTGAAAGGGAATAAGTAGTATAAAGCCAAAAATGTCCAATATTGTTGTTAATTTTAGGTTAAAAAAGGAAGGGGTAATTTTGACTCATCACTATCTTTTTTTCCCAGGAATTAAAATACCGGAGGGGGGCATGGGATTTTAATTCCATGAAAATGGGAGAATTGCAATTCCAATTTCCTCCAACCAAACTACGGAATTTAATGGCCTTTGAAATTAAGTGGGAATTAAGTGGGAAGGGAATTTAAAATCCCTCCAACCAAACGCCCGATAAGTATTTGATTAATTAATTTTTTTTAACTCTAAAATGTTAAAATTCAAAAAGCTGCTCAAATCAACTTTTTCAATTGACTTTTTTATAAAACAAATTATACGAACAGTCATTGGCTAATAGTTAATTTACCAATCATTTTTCTACAATTAATTAATATTATCAATTAATTATACAATCTAATTAACTCAATCAACTAACAGTTAATAACTATTAGTTAAAAATCATTTACCAAAGATAGCGATTATCTTGCATTCGACTCAATAGTACAAAAAAAAAAACATAGAGGAGGAGAGAGAAAGCAGTAATAAATGACGTTTGGTAATTTAATTGGTAATAAATGGTAATGATCTCATCTCTGCCCACCCTTTCTTCTCCTTCTCCTTGAGAATCAAAGCCAACAAGTGGAAGCCCACTCTCACTCATTTCTATGGTTTTGAAACTCTCATACTTCTTTCTCCCCACAGATTCTCTTGAATTCATTGTCTCTTCAATCTGTAGAGCATTGGATCTCCATTTTCCCTACTTCCTTCAGGTATGTTTCCTTTTCCCTATTTTCTTGATCTACTATTGTTGTTTAGTTAATGAAGTCGTTTTGCTCAGCTCTTGAGGATTAGACCACATCTCTCTGCTTAATCATTGGTCTTTGTTGCTCAACGCCATTCTTTTTTGCTTATTATTATTTTTTTAATGTATATTTTGTTTTGCTTGCTTTTAGTGCTGTGCAGCTCCATATGCATTCGTTTTTGTAAATTTATAAGCTTTTTAGGTGTTTTAATGGAAGATTTTCATTCCCCTTTTTTCTTGGCGAAAGTTTTGTTTTCTTGCGCTAATGGCTTTAGGTTGAAGCCTTTTTCATTACGTTTCTTAGAGGACAAAGAAACCATTTTTATTCATTTTATTTTCAACTGCTCTTTCAGGAAAATGAAATCTATCTTTGCTGTTAGAGAAATCTGGGGAAAACATCTTGCTTCTTTGGTTGAATGTTGCAATCTTTTTATTTACTGCACTGAACTCAATGGGCCATTAAAAAAAAAGATGTTTTGCAGTAAAAAAGTTGAAACTGAACAACCTAAAGGTTATGTTTTTAACCACACTCTGCTTTTAGGGAATGAAGAAGATTTGTAGTAAAACTGTGGACTTTATTTTGTATGGAGGATTAATACTTGGATCTTGTCCAGTTTAAGTTTATCAAACACTTATATATTTTGCTTTTTTGAATTAAAAACAAATGATTTTGGGTGTTATGGAGGTTATTGAGGTATAATTGTGTTTTGACTCTTTTACGAGTGTACATTTGTGTGTGTTTTTCTGTATGTATATGATCTATGTGTGCTAAATGAGGCATACGTTGGGCTATATCTAAATTAAAATATCGATTGTGTTGCAGGTTTGATGGTGTTGGTGTATATCGGGATGACCTAGTTAAGTAGTGATTTGACTTGACAAATGAAGATTTAACGAATTGCTCGAGGTGCTGAGTCCCTTTCGAGTTGTTTCTCTTTGTTGCGGTGTGATGGATTCGCTCAAACATAACTCTGAAATTGTTGAATCGAAGGAGGCGATTCGGGCATCTCAAAAGTCTTGGTATGGAAGAGCGGGTGAAAGAGATGGGAATGGGAAGCCTCCTGTGGTGAAAAAAGCACCCAATAATAAGTATTTGGGAGATGATATCAACCGGCTATTTGAGGCAATAAATTTTCGAACATCAAAGAGTTTGGATTTGTCAGACAGAGTAAGAAGAGATGCCTCGAAAAGGCCAATGAGGGGCAGTGGACCTAATTCACCTGGAATAGGATTCTCGGAGCCCGTCTCTCTAAAACAGGCACTCCGGGGATTATGCATTTCTCAGGCTGCAGAAATGGCTGCAATGAAGAGATTATCTAAGCTCCCCGGTTCTCCCAGTGAATCAGAAGCAGAAAGAGGGGAAATATCTCTAACGCCCGATGAGGGCTCTTCGAGATTCTCTTCTAAGGTGCCTCTCCACCTTCAAGCATCCAGCTCGAGGCCACTAAGTCATAGTGCTCAGTCTTCTCCGAGATATTACATCAGAGCAGCCGCTAAGAGTGCACTTTCCACTGCATGCCCGAATAATAAAATAGTGCCTGCCGATTTGGAGAAGTTACCAAGCCAAAGTGTCCTTTCTTCTCCTCGATTGTTGGGCAAAGCGATTTCCAAGATTGCAGTTGGTGTCATTCCACAAGATGAGAAAATCGTTCCAGAAGAAAGCATTTCAGGCTCGTTCGATATGCCTCAAGAGCCCAAGATAAAGTCCCCGAACCAAGCAGAACACGAAACTTCAGTTCCTCCAAGAAAGGTGACGAGCAATCCATCTAGAAGTGGTGGCACGTCAATTAAAGTCCATAAAGCAACGCCTAAACTAAGACGGAAAGGTATACCTTTATCCAGCAAGGATTTCAGGTCATCTCGTGCTCTAAAACCAACTACACGGATCAGAAGAATTCCCAAAACAAAACCAAACCAAGCCTCGGGCAATTCCAATCTCTCTTGTGAAAACGATGGTGTTCCCGACTCTGCTGGCAAAGTTATCTGCCAGAGATGTCAGTGTGCATTGAAGGACCCGAGAGTCGAGCCTAGCAAGAATCTTGCAACCCCCGTTCCTTTGTATGTCCCTAGTGAAGCGAATACTTGTTCTGGTGAGCCCGGTTTCATTGTGAACCCTGTTTCGAAATCGAACAAGTACTCGAAATCAATATTAGGGGACTTTTCTCAAAGCTCGAAGAGTAGCATCGGTGACTACAGTAGTACCACTACCATCAGCGAAGAGAGCAATATAAGCGGGTTAAGTTATGGTACCAGACCACACATGTCTAAGGATACGAGATGGGAGGCTATAAACCGGGTGAGGAAGCAGCATGGGTTTTTAGGTTTGGGTCATTTCAATCTATTGAAGAAGCTCGGTTGTGGAGACATTGGTACTGTCTATCTTGCCGAGCTGATAGGAACAACTTGCTCGTTTGCAATAAAGGTTATGGATAACGAATTCTTGGCCAGAAGGAAGAAGACACCGAGAGCACAAACAGAAAGAGAGATCTTACGAATACTCGATCACCCTTTTCTCCCTACACTGTATGCACAGTTTACATCAGATAATTTATCCTGTTTAGTTATGGAGTTCTGTCCAGGTGGCGATCTGCACGTGCTCCGGCAAAGGCAGCCTGGAAGATGTTTCCCTGAACCAGCAGCAAGGTATGACATCTTCCATCCTCGCTTCATTTGAATTGAAATACTTTAATTTGCAGATTATAATATTAGAATTATGATTTGCAGGTTTTATGTTGCTGAAGTCCTCCTTGCTCTCGAGTATTTGCATATGCTAGGAGTTGTGTACCGTGATTTGAAGCCCGAAAACATTATGGTACGAGGAGACGGTCACATAATGCTCACAGATTTTGATCTGTCACTGAGATGTTCTGTTAACCCGACTCTCGTAAAATCATCATCATTACCACTGGAGCCTGCTAGGATGTCTGGTCCATGTGCCGGGTCCAAATGCATTGATCCTTTTTGTGCCGAGCCATCGTGTAAAGTTTCGTGCTTTACTCCAATGAACTTTCCCCCCACCACAAGAGCAGGAAGACCAAAAACCGAATCTTTATCATCATCATTCAACAAGTCCTTGCCACAGCTAGTAGTTGAGCCAACGGAGGCCAGGTCTAACTCTTTCGTTGGCACACACGAATATTTAGCTCCGGAGATCATCAAAGGAGACGGGCACGGGAGTGCTGTGGATTGGTGGACACTAGGAGTTTTCCTTTACGAGCTTGTGTATGGCAGGACGCCTTTTAAAGGCACTGGGAACGAGCAAACTCTGACGAATGTGGTGCTGCAGAACCTGAGATTTCCCGAAAGCCCTATCATCAGTTTCCAGGCACGAGATCTGATCAGAGGGCTTCTGGTGAAGGAGCCCGAGAATCGGTTAGGATCAAGAACTGGAGCAGCCGAGATCAAGCGCCACCCGTTCTTCGAGGGCCTCAACTGGGCACTAATACGGTGTGCCATTCCACCTATAGTGCCTGAATTCTGCGACATTGAAGCTGCAAATAGTGCTTTCTTGCAGCAACAGAAGAGCAAGAAAAAGTACAGAGAGTATAGTTCCACGGAAGGGCACCTAGAATTCGAGTTGTTCTAGCAATAAGGAATAGTGCTGTCTGGTTAAGTAGCACTCTGTACCTTAGTATTCCCAGGTTTATAGTTACAAAATTTAATTCTATAATGTATATGTTTAGAACACAAATCTTCAGTTTAATACTAGGAAGTCATTCCATCGATCAGAATTTTGTTCCATCGTGTCGGAACATAGTATTCATTAATGTTTGAAAACATGTCCGTTCACGTTTATAAATGCTTAATAATCAAACATAATTTCGTTCGTGATCGCAATTCGTTCGTAAATAAGAAATAATTTATATTCACAAACAATAACCAAACAAACATTACAACTATATATATATATATATATATATATATATGCTTAACTAGTTGTTCATTAATATGTTCTTAAACATTATTAAACGAGCTTGTTAATGATATTTTAACAAACAAGGCAAATTATGCCCTGGAAACGTGTTCACCGAGAATGGTAAACACAAGGCCAAACGACGTCGTTTTTAGGCAAAAAAAAAAAAAAGAAATTGCAGATGTGGAGTTAACGGCGTTCATCAAATTATGAATTTTCTTTTATGAGATAATCTCATAACAGAAAATTCATAATCGCATAACAGAAAATTCATAATCTCATAACTGAAAATTCATAATCTCATAACTGAAAATTCATAATCTTATAATAGAAAATTCATAATCTCATGGTTCCAAAGTGAATGTGTAGGCATGGTTCCAAAGTGAATGTGCATGCATAGATTTATAATTTATGAATGTCCGTGATTTCGGACAAGAATGTGTAAGCATGGTTCCAAAGTGAATGTGCGGGCATGAATTAATAATTTATAAATGTCCGAAATCATTGTTCACCTCAAATTAAAGTGAAACTACAAAATGTGAAAATGAAGAAGAAAAGTCACGCAATTAATTAAGAAAAAAAAAAAAGGAAAAAAAAAAGATAATGGTGTACTAACACCGTTGGAACCGTGTTCACCATTATGAATGGTGAACACGGTTCCCTGGCATAACGCTCCGTTTATAATTGTTCAGATTCTATTTGAGTTCTAAACTTTGTTCATTTGTGTCTGTTTACTTTAATAAACGAAAATACAAACACGAGTAATTTATTGAAAATTTTACAATCCTAACGGGTATTTGAGGACTAATTTGAGTCACAAACATGAATCAAATATCCAACCTCTCATCCCATTTCTTCATCACCAGTAAGTCGGTAACCCAAAGCTATACATACACACAGACTAATAGATATAGTGAGAGAGAGAGATGCAAGGCGGAAAGGATAGTGTTGAAAACCCCAAAGCCACAAAACCCAGGGTGGTGTGTTGCATAGGAGACATCCACGGCTACATAGCCAAGCTCCAAAACCTCTGGTCCAATCTTGAATCCCTGGTTGACCCATCGGATTTCAAATCTGCCCTCATCATTTTCCTGGGCGATTACTGCGACAGAGGACCAGACACCGGGCGAGTGTTGGATTTCTTGATTTCCTTACCCTCAAAGTACCCAAATCAGTCCCACGTTTTCCTATGTGGAAATCACGATCTCGCCTTCGCAGCATTCTTGGGCGTCCTCCCTAAACCCCCGGACGGCTCCGCTTTCGCCGACACGTGGAAGGAGTTCGAGATGAGTGAGGAGAGGGAAGGGTGGTATAAGGGCGAGGGGTATGAAAATATGCATGTCCAGGGGAGGCGGTGGGCTGGGAAACACACAGTTGCCTTCAATGTTGTGAAAGGGACTAGCTATCAAGGATCCATTTATGATGCCGCCCCGACTTTTCAGTCTTACGGAGTTCCCCATGGATCTGCAGGTTTAGTTTTTTTTCTAATTCTTGTTCAGTGGCAGATGAGTTTGTAATTATCTGTGAGGAAAAATTGATTGCTTCTATCAATTTACATTCCATTTTTTAATTAGTGGTTTATTAGTTGCAAGAAATCTTTGGGGTTAAAATGTGGTTTATATCTTACACAGATCTGATGAAGGCAGTTCCTGATGAGCACAAGAAGTTTCTTGCTGATACAGTATGGATACATGAAGAGGTGAGCTTCTTCTTTGTTCACTTTCATTCCATATAGCTTCTTCTTTGTTATTAATGTGGTTACTTCTTTGTAGGATAACGTCTCCATAGAAACCAAAGAAGGAATCCAAAATTGCAAATTAGTTGCTGTTCATGCTGGTTTGGAGAAAGGTAAAGATGTTGAAGAGCAGATTAAAGCACTGAAAGCTAAGGATACAAGCATCCCTAAGGTGGCAGCTCTGAGTGGAAGGAAAGATGTGTGGGAAATTCCAGAGGTGCTTGCTTGTTACCATCTGTAATTCCTTTTTGCCCAAATTTGCTTGCTACACATCTTCCCAAGTTTCTGTCTTATTTCATGTAGGAACTGACTAAAACTCCAACAATTGTGGTAAGTGGTCACCATGGGAAGCTCCACATTGAAGGCCCCAGGCTGATTATAGACCAAGGTGGTGGCCTAGAAAATAATCCAGTTGCTGCAATGATACTCCCTTCGATGAAGATTGTTCGTGATACAGATTGTTTTAGTCAAGTGGCATGATCTGAGTAGGGAAGGAAAAAAAATCCTGATCTTTGTGCAGATGAGTGAGTTTTAAACAATGATTGGATCTGTTGTTGCGTCTTTTCATTTATACCTTGTACTTTCTGTCACAACTACTAATTATATTATGATTAATATTTTATTTTCCTGAATGGTTTGCCTTGTGTTTTTCATAAATTGTGAGATGTTATACATTGCAGGAAGCCAACCCATAACAATGTTGCCTGCTATTAACTTCACCAACGTTCTGAAGATTACCCAAACAAAGGGTGTAATTCCGAATCAATTATAATTGTAAAAACATTTTTAATAGTTGATTTGTTATAGCTTCAGTCGCAGGTTGGATGATTAAGCAACGCTTTAATCCAGCCTTTCAGATGACCGTGGTAATGACATCTCGTTCGTGATGATTGGACACTTGCTGAAAGTGGTGATTCCCAATATGGTACTTTTACTTGCTCTATGTGCATGTGGATGATTGATTTCGACTCATGGCCTCTTTAGGCCTTCTACAATCTACACCAATTGTTATACCATGGACCAGAGTTTATATTGCATCGTGAACCCTGATACAAAAATTCTGTATCAGTTAACACATTCTCTACCTACAATTAATAGTTTTTGTACATGTAAACAAATAACTTGATAATTACTAGCACATAATATGATAGCTACAGGTACAGAAACTATCAACTGCAGGTACATAATGTGTCAACTGTAGATACAGAATTTGAAGGTTATTTTTTACCAGGGTTTACAATGCAAGGTAGACCTTGGTCCATGGTATAATTTGCCCCACTTTATAGACTTTTTTGGGTATATATTTAGGTCATTGGTTTTGACAATACCCAGATTCTAGTTTCAATTCCATTGTAAGAAAGGGATTTGTCTCCCTTTCAGAGTTAGTCTATGTGGTACCCATGGTGGCTAACTGGCTACTAGCATGTATATATTTCTCTTGTTATCAATGAAGTGATACTGTTCTATGGCCTTATTTAGGTTCTCACCGAACACAATCATGTCCAGAACGAGGTTAAATAGGAATGGCCCAAGTTCCTGGTTATCAGGCAGTGATTCTTTGATAACAGCTCTTTTTTAGCAGCGATTTCTACCTATGAATTCTTACAACCTTGGAGTAACCTCATCCATCCATCCTTAACCAAACGTCACACGATTTGTACCTATGAATTCTTACAACCTTGGAGTAACCTCTAAACTTCACACTTTCAACCTTTACCAAGCTTCTATTTGTAAGCATAGCATTCCTTGATTTTAGGCATGCATTATACACACCATATACGCAACATGATCTCACATTGATGTAAACAAATTGCAGCACTCCCCCATTTCAACTTTGCATAAAGGCAATAATAGACTTTTAATATATTAAAATGTACTTAATATTTATGGTTCACACAATTGTGTGGACCAAATAATTTGGCCCCGGGGCAAGCCTACCCTTTACTTAAACGGGCTCCCCTTGGGTCAAGCCCCCCTCACTTCAATAATCCTTTGGGTTGTGCCCTCTAGGGGCCATCAATATTAATTTATTCTTATTTTTTATGAAACTTAAATACAAATAAATTTTCTACAATTTTATTTTTAATGTTCTTTAATTAGTATTTGCAAATAAACCTATGATAAGAGTATGTAGCGATTTGATAAGAAGTGTCCTTATTTATAATATAGGTTAAGAGTTCAAATCCCTAATTATGCATTGTAATTCTATACTTTAGGTTAAGGGTTCAAAGGTGCTTGCTTGTTAATGTCGATCCTACATACCTGCTTTCACTCTTAAGAAAAGATGAATTTTTGGCTTGACATTTTAAAGTGGTTTTTGCTCAATTTTTGAGAATAAATTGACTGAAGTGGAAGAGAGTAGATGTGAGACCTTCGTACCAGAAGTGATTTTTGGTCTCTGACATGAGCCCAGCCCCACCAAAATTAAAAAAGGAACCTCATTTCTCACGTGAGGCACAAAAACAGCGGGTGCGTTTCCATAGCTTTTTTTTTTAATTTTGTCTGAAAACTTATTTTCTTGTTTTTTTTTAAAAAAAAAAAAAAAAAATCCCTCCCTCGTTCTCTACTATTTGGCATCTTTAAAAAAAAAAAAAAAAAAAAAAAACTATTGAGGTTGCCCTTAAGCATATTATGGTGTAGTGTATTTCATGTAGGAACGGCATGACTGCTATTAACATGACCTGATCGAGCATAGAAGTGAAAAATGTCCTCATCTTTTTGCCGCAGAATTGAAGAAGTTGTCAGCATTGATTATATTGGATCTTTTCGTTAGTTTAGGCCCTGAGATCTTCTGTCACAACTAATAATTATACTATGATTAAGGGAATAAACTCAATCAGGGTCGTTTCATTTCTTTTCCAAGCATGCATGCATGAATCACATATATATAGCAATGTCACCCTCAATTTGTTACTTATTGAAAACTCATAGATGTAACTTACTACTAAAATAATTCCCAAAATCTTGATAACCACAAAATAGTTAGGAAAGTTGATGAAAGCACGAAGAAAAATTAAAGCATTACACACTCCATGCATGCAATTTGTACAGCCGACATTTAAATAAGACAACCTAGACATACATCATTTTTGAAGAAAACAATATAATGATTCTTCTTCTTCAACTGGTGATAAAACTAGTCTCCGACGTTGTTGAGTTACGCTGCAACTGGTGCAAAACGCTGGTGGGCGAGGAGTTGGACGTGGAAGATCTCAAAGCCTCCGCCAGCGGCCCGCCCACGGCGGAACCCACCTGGACCTGGTGGTGGCTCGTCCCCCACGCGGCGGTTGTCCGTTCCATGTTGCCCCCCAGCGGAGGCCCGGTGGCGAGCTTCAGTGAGAAATCGGAAGAAGCGTTTCCGGGGATGGATATGGAGAGGTTGGTGGCGGAAGCCACGGCGGAGGAGCTCTCATTTTCCTCAAGTGGTCTGGGCCAGTCGTCGAAGAAATGCCGGAGTGTCTGTCCGCCGGCCGGCCCATCCTTTTGGGCCTCAAGTGGGCCGTTGCTTTCCATAATGGGCTCTCCATGATGCCTGGAAAACACACATTTTTACTAGTGGATAGGGTGAATTCAGATCAGAGTTGATAATAAAAGCAGTCAGTCAGTCTGTTATATAATACTCAACGGGAAAAAATATCAAAGAGAAGACCCCTACCCCTACCCCCCCCCCACCCTACCACGCCAATAATGGTGGACCCAAAAACTAGTTTGAATGAGAGATGAAGTTATAATTATGCAGTGGACCATAGCCTTTCCAGAAAGAAACAAAAGTGTTGCATCTCATTCATGATTTTGAAACATAATAAAACCTTATAGCTTAATTAACATCTTGATTTGACGTTGTAATAAGAAAGCAAGCAAAACCCGTTTCATTATTTGATTAAAGTTTGCTCCTTTTGGGGAACAAGAATCTCAAAACTATGTCTCTTGAGGGGAGGCCATTCCATTTTGTCCTTCAAACAACAACCTTAGCAATTACAGACCAACAACATATTACTAACAATGATTAGAAATGATGTTACGTTGTACACGGTTTTTGTGTTTTTTTTTGTTTTGATGTTTTTTTTTTACCTTTGACTGAGGTGAAAGAGATCAATGGAAGACGAGGGAGGAGCAGTAGCGGCGGAGAGAGTGAAGTGAGGGGGGGCATCACGGCCGGGCACGGCGGACAAGGGCTGAGCATCCGCCGTGGGGCCACCGGCGGCAGTAGGCGGAGTTGGCGTGGGAATTTCCACAGGCTTTCTTGAACGGTTGCGGCCACGGTGCATGTGGCGCTCACAATACTTCTGACCCGCCACCACGTCCCTCGAGCACCTCCACTTCTTCCCGTCGGTCCTCCGGCACCGACCCGGCTCCGGATCCATCGCCGCTCTCCCCCAGTACCCTGCTTGCATCACTATACATATAATAATAATATATAAACCCCAAAGGACGACAAAGAAAAACATGAAAGCTACCCAGACATTCTAGCTACCAAGTACTACTGTATTATTAAAGATTTCTTGAAAAGCATAAATCTTTGAAAACCCCAAAGCTATTTATCATCAGGGTTTTCCTTATTTCCTAGGATTAATAAACAAAAAAGAGAAACATAACAATAAGCATGCAGTACAGTTGAAATTAAAGACACATACAGAAATAATGGAAGAACTAACAGAGAACTTACAAGGTGCTGAAGCTGGGTGATAATGGGGATATTGGTGAAGAGGGTGAGGGAAATAGTAAGGAGCAGAGTTGAAGAGGCTCTTTTTAACCAGGTGGAGAAGCTCAGGTGGAACAGGTGCCCCAGCAATCATGTGTCTGAAGATCAAAGCCTGCAGTTCAAGCTCCTGCCACTGCCCCAAGCTGAAGTAACTTCCACCCATCCCTATTTTAAAGAAGTAAAAGAATTTGAAGTAAGTTGGAAGCAAAGTTTAAATTTTGATGAGATGAGAGTGGCAGAAACTCACTGGGAAATTTGGTGGTGGCAGTGGGTGTGGAATCAGAAGAGAATGCTGACAGCTTGCTGGTGGGGGGTTCAGAGACAAACAATGGAAGTGCAGAGGAAGATGACCCCCCACCCCCACCCCCATGACTAGCTGTGGTAGTGGTGGAGTGGAGATCAAGCACAAGTCTTGGTACCTTTGCTTCTGACTCCTCCTGGTTTCTCCATTGCTTCAGATCAAAGTCCATGGACAAACAAAAAGAATAGATTCCCTCTTTTCTTTTTTGGTAGTTTTGGCTTCTAGCTTGCTAGTTTTTTTTCTTTTAAACAAGTAAAGAGAAAGTAGTTTTGGGAAGATCAGAAGAGGCTTTTATGTTTGATGAGTTTGTGAGTGGACCCTTTTTATATCTTTTGCTGGGGAGCTACAAAAATTGAAACTTGCCAACCAAACACACATAATAAAGGCCTGTAGTGTTGTGTTTGTTGTGTTGTGGACACTACCACATACTCACACTTACTGGAGAAGATCAGAGAAGCCTATACTATGCCCTATGCTATGATATGATAAGCTAAGATTAGAGAACACTTGAAGAAAAAGACAGACAGACAAGACAGTTGAGAGAAATCTATAAATATAATAAATAATAAAAAAAATTCTGCAGAAAAAGAAAAAAAAAAAAAAAAAAAAAGTTGAGAGCTGAGCTGCCTGGCTGCAGGCAGGCTGCAGGTTCAGGTCTTTGTAAGCTTTGGGAAGAGAATAAAGATGGAGAAAAAGAAATGTTAAGAGGCTAATTATATTCTTGAATTCATTAATAACAAAGCTAAGTTGTTTGATATATATGCAACTCCAGAAAAAAGCATAAATGGTAACCTGATTTGTTTATTCTGCCTGTGGAGTTCAACTTTTTACCATTTCAGATAGAATGTGAAAGAGAGAGAGAGAGATTGGAAGAGAAAGGAGGCTGACAAATGCAAGGTTCTATTCAGCCAAACCCAGACTTTTGTCTAGGCTTAGTGGAGTGTTGTATAGTTTTTATAATTTTGGTGGGATATTGATCTGATAGGTCAGGGTTTGCAGCATACATACATCACTGCTCACACTCAACAACACAAGGTCAAACTCATCATCAAACCCATCCATTTTCAGTTCTCATTCAAACCTCTTTCCTTTCACAACTTACCAACAATATATAGTAATATTCCAACTTTGAAACATCCTATTACTATACCTTACTCTAGCTTATGCTGGAATATGATGGAATATGATAAAAGGAGATGTTTGGTAAATAGTTATTAACTGATGGTGGTTAGATGATTAGATTAGTGATTTAACTAATTGATAGTATTAGTTGATTGTAAAAATGTGTTTGGTAAATTAACTGTTAGTTGTTGGCTGATTACTATAAATGACTTTGAGCACTCATATTGATTGTTTAACTAAGTCAAATAGTTAATAGTGATTAAATATATTAAAATCAACTGATAGACTAACTATTTTATTAATCATGGACAAAATGTTTGAAGAAGGTCAGGCTGATATGTGTCTGGTAAATTAGCTGTTAGTTGTTGGCTGATTACTATAAAATAACTCTAAGCACTCATATTGATTGTTTAACTAAATCAAACAGTTAATAGTGATCAAATATATTAAAATTAACTGATAAGCTAACAATTTTACCAAGCATAGACAAAATGTTTGAAGAAGGCCAGCTGATATGATCTGATCTGATCTGATATCTTGATGGTTTGACAAAAGTGCCCTTTTGTTTTTGCATCAAATTAAACAACCAAACCATATATACATGCATGAGCCCAGGGTTCTCCTCCTTCCATGCACTTTCGATCTGTTTCTTCTTGGTTTCTCAATAGTTTACACATACCAAGATATTCCCAGCAGTCTAGTAATGTTAAATGTTTCTCTAGGTGTTTTTTACCAGACATTTTTTAATCTTTGAAAACATTAAAAAGATAATCTCCCTTTGCCTTGGGACACCAAAACTAGGATTTTTACACCCTCCACATGTCTGTCATGATAATGGCTACCTAGTCTGCCATTTTCTTCCCATCTATATATAAATTTTCTGGTCAAATCTTCATTTCTCACTCATATAAAATACAAGAAAAATTTTTTTTTTTTAACTTTTCTTGATTTCCGACAGCACATGAAAATCAAAAAGGATGAAGAAGTAATTGAATGTGAAGATGGGGTTGGGGGGTGATCTTTGGCAATCAATGAGCCTGGGGAAAAGGATCCAACCATCTCAGTGAAGTGTCAGAATTCTCCCCCCAGGTACAGGTGGTAGAGAAACAGTGAACCCGGGCTGGACCGGACCGTCCTGAACCCGGTCCATACCATACAACAAGCTCGGTTCAACGCAATTTAAAAGGAATTTTAACGTGAAATTGTCTGACAAATAAAAACAATTTTCTGACACTAACCAAACGCCGTGTCAGTGACCTATATAGACTGTGTAGTCGCTTTCCCTCACAGACATGTGACCCAGCTTTTCTTTATTGCACTTTAAACAATTATTTTATTGTTTATTATAAGTATTCTTTATACTCGCATTATTAAATTTATTTATGAACCAAAACTTTTAAAAATATATATATTTCGTAGTTTTTCAGAATAAGTAGACGAATCAGGCAGGTGACGTGGACGGCCCATGATAGATCCCACCTTGTTAAAACTGTACGCACGGGTGATCCAAGGATCTCCCCACTTCCCCCGTTATCTTGACTTGCTTTTCTTTGGACCAAACCTTTTTTTCTTAATTTATCATCGCGCACCCTATAGCGCTAGAGTTGCACACAGGGCAGTTCAAGATCGAATCAGTCCCAATTATTATGGGCTTGTTTGGTTATCAGCGATTAGCGGTCAACGGTAGCGAGTTGTGTTAGCGGTTATCAGATAGCGGATTGTATTAGCAGGTTTGACCAGCAGATTGTATTAGCGATTTGTAAAAAAATATTTAATAAAATTAGCTGTTTAGATTAGCGATTAACATGTAAAATGACCATAAGGGTATACATTATAATTTATAATTTATAATTCATAATAATAATAATAATAATAATTATAAAAAAAAAAAAAAAAAAAAAAAAGAGCGAAAGAAGGGTGCAGCACAAGCTGCTCCCCTCTTGTATTCTCACTTTTCCCACCGTCCCACATCGGTTGAAAAAGTGGGAATGGAGCCTTATTTAAGGAGCCTCAAGGCTCCACAAATTTGTTGCCCATCCCAGATGGGCAACATTGAGGAGCCATTTTGGCTCCTCAAAATTAAGGAGCCGATTCGGCTCCTCAATAAGTTTTAAGTTTTTTTTTTTTAATATAAACAGGGGCGTTTTGGGGAAAATTTAATTGGGACTGATTTAATATAAACAGGGGCGTTTTAATATATATATTCACACGCACTTTTTCAAAGTTAATATTTTGTTTAAAATAATATTTTAACAATTAATCTTAAAATAGAAAAAAATTAATATATTTTTCTACAAAATTAAAATTTATAAGACTTTAATAACATTTGAACTTGTACTATTAAAAAATTTGATAAGACTTGTAATATTTTTCAGTAACTAATAAATATTATACATTGTATTATAATTTATAAAGTGCATGCTAGATTTTTTCCGTGCTTAAATTTGGCCCTGGCCCGGTTAGAGACCTAGGCTTGATCTAGTTTCGAGTTGGGTTTGGGTATTTGTTTTATAGGACTTGAACCGACCCTCTAGGACCTATATATATATATATATATATATATATATATATATATATATATATATATATATATATATATATTGAAAGGTTCCCGTGCGGTTAATTAATGTGCGTGAGATTTGTACTTAATGTGCGTCAATATGTAAAATGCAGCAGAAAATATGGATGTCAGCTTCATCCCCATCCCCAGTAGCCATTGCCCCCTCCCTGATGATGATGATGCGGGGGCGGGCTATGGTGGTTAAGAATTATGGGAATAATACAACAGAAATCCATACTTAGCTGGTGTGCAAATTTTGCTGTGCGTGCGTCATCTATATAAACATTCAGCTGCACTGAAGGTAGTTGATAATCCAAAATCCATGGCCAAATTGAAAGAAGAAGTAACAAGAAGTTTGGGCGTTAATGTGCGTGAGTTTTCTGTTCTGCTTCCTTCTGAGTTCGTAATTCTGAACTACTCACGTACATTAAGCACAAATCTCACGCATATTAATCACAATACTCAGGCACATTAAGTACAAAACTCACGCATATTAACATTACGCACATTAAGTACAAATCTCAGGTACATTAAGCACAACACTCGCGCACATTAAGTATAAACCTCACGCACATTTTATATATATATATATATATATATATATATATATATATATATATATATATATATATATATATATATATATAAGGCTTCGAATTCGGTGCACCCCCTCTAATAGATGAGACCATGAGGCCTCCTAATATCCATTGATTCAATTTTTATCAATGGTTGAGCTTATAAGAGATTAGGGTAGTAATTAAGGACATTTTCCAATGTAAAGGATATATTAGTAATTGTAATTCTAATTTATTTATGGACATAATATTATTGGAATCTGTAGCATTAAATTAGGGAGTTTATGGATGGAAATTAATACTTTGAATTACTACAAAGGTTGATGAGGTGAACTTGGCGTGAACAATTCTTGAGGAGAAAACGAATGGGTAAGTGCATTTGCGTGCCATCGTCTGTGCATACACTGAATATTGGAATTTTTTCCGCTGGGATGGTGGGAGGGGGGTGGGGGTTGGTGGACGAACTAGAATATCTGTTATGTTCGTAGCGTGTGCATGTTCAGGTGGTTGCATACAGGTCTGTTTGTGAAACCGATATGTTGACGGGAGGATGCATAGAAACAATGAGTGTATTTGGCCTGTGAAAGATTGTGAAAAAAAAAAAATCACAACCACAATCCTTATAATATGCAACCACTATATGCACAGGCCTTTTCTTGTGCGTGATTTCTTGTGGTTGGCTTGTTTTACAAGGAATATATTGTAAAAATTAATAGGTTTTTTTTTTTTTTTTTTTTTTTTTTTTTTTTTTTTTTTACAGTGGTGTGTGCATTTGTATGATTTGGCGTTTGCAAATTTTTGGAAAATGAACTTAGCATCATGTCATTTTTTTTAGTTTTGTTTTTATACTGGTGTGTGCATATTTTTGGTATGGCGTGTGCAAATTTTTGGCAATAGAATTTTGCATCATGTGGTCTATTGTACACGTCATAACACTCCAATGCACACTCCAAATACAAAAAACAAATGCATATGAAGAAATGCAAAGGTCATGCGCTTTTATATTCTACATGCAATAACATTTAAAAAAAAATATCATGGTTTATATACATTAAAAAAAAAAAACAACAAGAACTAACGCACACACCATACTATAACAATGCACACACCGCTGTAAGATTGCATTTTAAAATAAAATGGTAATAAAGGCGTGCGCATTAAACTGGTATGTGCTTAATGAAGTAGGTGGATGCGTAGGAATGAGCACGTAGATATTTGCTAATTAGGTTTTATTTCACAATCTATGGCCTGTGCGCACACGGGTGACAGTGTGTGCGTAA